TTCAGTTCATTATCAAGCTACATGCAATGACAGGCAGTGGAGTGTGATAGTATTTTGGTCATTATGAAGAATATTGTACCTCAAACACTCCTGCTCCTTGAGATACAATCACTATTTGCTGACCAGTTGTACTGAAGTTACAATTCTTATAATCATTCTCCAAAACTACATAGAATTGACTAAAATAAAAACACTCATGTGGTAGTACATGTATATTATCATTTATAATTTTTCAAATATTGACTCATTGTATCATTATGGTATCATTGTATCACTAATAACTCTTATATCAAACAGGCATGTACCCTGTGGCTACCAGACACCTCTTAGAGCAACATCAGCCCAAAGACTCTCAGAGGATGAGCTTTCATCTACCATGGGCTCCTTGATGGTTTGACTCCAGACCAGAGAGGAAATGTCAAAAAAAGTCTCTGATTTCAATCTGAATCTGATTTCTCTGATTCTGAAAGGGACATTACAGCCATCACAGTTGGTAGGTTCAATAAAGGTTTTAAGTATCACACATGCTTGTACATGCACTGCTAGAGTTCATACTCATATAACTCACTTTAAATATGAATTCAACCAAATCAAGTGTCACTTCATCTTTATCCACTCTCCTAACACACACTTCCCTCAGTCCACTGAGATTGATGGCATGAGCTACAGTACCTCTCCACTGATACTAAGAGGACCACCTAAAAATAAAAGGACACTTAATTTGGCACAATTTTTGAGCAACTTTAAAAATTTGTAAAAAACCAAATTTGATCGGAATAAGCTCAAACTTTCTACATAATATAAAAACATGTATATGCATTGGGAAAAATTGTAAAAATAGAGAATTCCCTCTTTGTGATTTTTGGCTAAATACCCTGTACTAAAGTACTGGAACAAGAGCCTGAGGATGCACGAGGACTACGCCAATATCCTGTGGAAAACCGTCATAAAATGGCAGATGAAATATTCAGGCACAATGTCTAAACATTGTTTGAATGTAATTAAGGCTCAGCATGCACACGTTACAAAATGAACAAATCAAAAACAAACAAAACCATAACTTGACACACTTCAAAAAATCTAAAAAAGAAAACTAATCTCACCTTTAGCCTGTACATCTGCAGGAATCTTACTCACTTTCAGTAAAAGATTTCCATTACAACTTAATACAATTAGCCTCTTCAGCAATTTCTATACCACTAGGTCTTCTTCTACAATGTCACAGCATTTTATAAAGTATGATACATACCACAAAAATTTCTAGGATGAGTTTTAGCTTTAAAACTTTAGATTCTGAGTAGTATTTGTTGGACAGAAAATCCGCCATTTTTAATTACTGCACTTTACACCACGCCTACATAGCACCACAAAATTAACTCTTTGTTTACTCAATTTATTATGAATTTAACTTCAGCTTTTTTTATAGGACGAGAGTAGGTTTTTTCATACTCTTTTCTGCTCCTTTCTTCCTCCTGTCGTAAGGAATAGTAGCTCCAAGAGTGATACATTTTATCCAGCCAGACATGGAAGCGTTAGCCAGGCTCAACCAAACCTCTACAATCCTTTCGTGGAGGACTCGGCCTACTTCAGTCAGACACTACCTCAGTCTCCTGTAAACTACCAAACGAGGTAACTCTAATTTTATTTCATGATTATACCAAGGAATATATGCATGAATGTGTAAGGAGGATATACCATTGTTGAAGGGTTGCCGGCAAGGGGACCGATAGAAGGTCTTGTTGCCATTGGGTATGATAGAAAGCACTCAGAATGGAGGTTGATAATGGCATACTAAATAGCTAGTAATCTATTGCAAGTTCAGGTTGTGAAAGCTATTGGCCAAAATAAAGACAGCCATTTTTGACCATTATATGTATGGTGGTATGCTCAAATTAAAACCCACCAATCACTAAAAACTTAGCACCCCTCTACGATTACCAGCCATACGGTATTATGATTGAAGTACTGAGGCACTGTTATTAATGTTAATTTGTAGGTGACTCCACCAGTTGAGGCAGTTATTCTTGTTCTCTCCTTCATCTGGTCTCTACTCTTGTCCTCTTCCTATGACTGATGGAGGAGCTAGACTAATTGAAGTGAGCAGACATTACACACAAATGCACATTATACTTAATGCATTACATACACATTTACATGTACATGTACATGTACTTACTGATTCTCTGGTGCTACTTCTTATTGATTGCTTTCTATAGCAACAGCCAAATTTGCCAAAAATTTCAAGTAGAGAATTCTTAATTTTTATGACATTTTATGATACATATAAAATTTCTTATGTTGTGTAGAAAGTTTGAGCTGATTCCGATCAAATTTGGATTTTATGCGAATTTTTTAAGTTGCTCTAAAATTGGATCAAAGTCCCTGTACTATTGCTTCAAAATCGGGCCAAAGTCCCTGTACCACGTGGGTAGCATGGCTGCCAGGAGCTGCTGCGCTTGTACAAGAAAGAGTCGTTGTTTGACCCAGAGGTGCTCCTGTTTCAGTAGTGGTCGTCGCTGTGTTAGCTGTGTTCCTTTAGAGCTGAATAAGTGTAGCAATGTCGCGGAGGAGGAAGCTCGAGGCATCTCGGGCGTCAGAGACGATTCTTCTGAAGACGACTACCACCCAGGTCCTCGCCCTTGCTCGTCTGATCCAAGTTCTCAGTGCTCTGAGTCTCAGGCGAAGGACTCTCCTGTACTCTCCTCGTCTGATAGTTCTCCAAACCCGCGGCCGTCTCGTTCTTTTTCGCCGTCCCGTTCTTCGCTGCCGTCTTGTCCTTCGCCATCTAGATCCGCTGTGCTCGCTGATTTGCCTTCGTATCGTCCAGTTGCTGAGCCTCTTTTTCAATGGAACAATATTTCGGGTAGAAAATGTATTAAGCTAATTGATAAGTGCTATGATAAGGCTGTTCACTGGATTCCCAATCTCTTCAAGGTTCCACACGGGAAATCTGGTAAATCTTTTGTTCAGGAACTGTCTCTTCTATTTCGGGCCTACGCTGAAGCCTCTGCTAAGGAGTGTATTGCATTGAAGGCTGCTTTTCTTTTTCCGCTTCTCGTATTACAGAAGCCTTTCCATAGTTCAAAAGCTAGGGATCATGTGGATGCTCTTGATCGCCGTTTACAACTTTGGCAGGATGGCAGTTTTGATCTCTTACTGAAAGAAGGGGAGACCATTCAAAAGAACCTACGTGCTAATTTTCGTGCTCCCAAGGCAGATCTTGCTGAATCATTTTCGAAACTAATTTTTCAGGGAAAGGTTAAGGCTGCGTTGAGATTATTAAATAGGTCTGATTCTCGTGCAGGTCAACCACTTTCTTTAGATGCCCCTGTTTCTCCTTCAGACCCATCTGTATCAGTACGTGATAAACTTCTAGAGAAGCATCCGGCACCTGCTCCTTCTCATCCTTCTTATTCTCTTCTAACATCTACCCCCCCTCCTGATCATGATCCACACTTCATTGAGTTCCATCGTATTGATGGTGGTCTGATACGTGCTATGTTGATGAGGATGGATGGAGCTGCTGGTCCCTCAGGTATGGACGTAGCCCATTGGAAGAAGGTGTGCACTTCCTTTTCACGACACTCTGATGAGCTCTGTTCCTCTATTGCTATGGTAGCTCGTAAGATGTGTAGTGAATATGTTGATCCACACAGTATTTCAGCATTGGTATCTTCCAGGCTTATAGCTCTTGACAAAGACCCAGGAGTGCGTCCCATTGGTATAGGGGAGGTGGTGAGGAGAGTAATTGGGAAAGCTATTTTGTCTGTAATTAAGTATGATATTGTTGATGTGACCGGGTGTTCTCAGCTGTGTACTGGAGTCAGTTCCCCTTGTGAGGCGATTGCTCATACGGTTCGTAAGATCATGGAATCGGATGAAGTGGAAGGTTTACTGTTGATTGATG